ATATATTTCACAGAACCATTAAAAAAATTTTTTGTCCCAAGAAACAGAAAAATACACATAAAGAAACATTAACATATATATTTTTGTAATGATCAGCTTGACAAATTCTTGCTATTTCAATTTGAATATTCTTCGATACTTTATAAGTAAAATAAGTAACTTATCTTTGATTACCCAAAATAAAAGCAACCTGATATTTTATTTCAGAGGCTTACCATAAACAGGAAGAGCAGCATTTTGTGTTGAGACAAGCTTATTCAGAAGATTGCTACAGTCAGCAACAAGTATCCTCTGGCAACCTGTCCTTAGCGAGATCTACAGAAAAATAATAATTTTCATTAGAATAGATACTCAAATATGTGACCAAGCTAATAAAAATACATACTTTCTAATAGCTGATAAATGGTACATTCATTAAAAAAGACAACAAAAAAAACCATGCAGATATATTTACAAACCTGATTTTTTTTTTTCTTTTCAGTATCCAACATTATAGATGATAATGAGCAATATGTGACTAAAACACTACTAACTAATATCTAACCTGGAGATGATAATCTTGAAGAATTTTGACAAGGGCATCTCTCAGACCAGGAATCTCCAGACCGTGTGGTATTCGTTGGATGATCATGAGAGGGTCAATGTGAGTGCCGATGTTGTTTAGTAATTCTCTGATGTATTCTGACAAGAGGATAAAGTTTTATTAAATAGAGGATACTGCTATACCAATAATATTTCAAAAACTGTTCTGAAATAAGTTGCAATCCTAAGAATAACAAGGAAGACATAAAACATAAAAATAACAAAATTAAATAAACTTTTAATACACCATATAAGGTATCTTACACACATGTAAGCACATGTATGAACATACAAAATATCTCACCTGGCTTATCAAGAGCATACTCAATTAGACGGTTCCACAGATCGGCATCGTCATGTTCTTTACAGAGGCGAATGGCCCACAGTATATCTTGCTCTTCTTCCAGAATCAATTGTAGAGACTCAATGCTGTTGCCCATTCGATCTGCAACAAGTGAAGCACCAATATAATTACAATCATTATGCTATTATGCCACATGGATTTTCATAATTATCACTTACATGATGAAGGTAATAATTTCAAGACAAGTGAATACAACTCTTGGAATGAAAATGAAGATAAAAACAAAACATGGAATGTACAGTTTAGATGGGTTGAAAATTTCAAGGCATAAGACAATTGCAGCTCCTGGAGACAAAATATGCTAAAGCCAAGTCCTTACCAAGGAGGTGTATTGTTTCTGTGGTGAGGCAACGCATCCTGCACACCTCAAGAGCCTCACTGAGATCATATGAAGAAGAAGTCAGCAACAGGGGCAGCAACTTGCTGCGATCCTGGTCAGCATATAGTGCCACTAGCTGGCTGTGGTATTTAGCACTCATGTCACGCCGTCGTTCATATAACGTGTCCAAGTACTGTTGAGGGATGACAAGATTGTATTTAACAGCAGAATGGTAGAGTGGAGCTATACTATGAAAAGAAAATCAGCATTCTTCAAACAAAGAGTAGTAGTAAATACATGATTGTTGTTTGTAAATGTGACTATCTAGGAAGTTTCTGATTTTATTAGAGGGGGATCAGTATGTTATATCAGTGTGCCTGGTATTTGCTGTATGTTGTCTGAAGTTTTAGGGAAAAAGAAAGAAAGAAAGAAAGAAAGAAAGAAAGAAAGAGAGAGAGAAAGAATAAAAGGAAACTATAAAAGAAAAGAATCAGTAAACTCACCTTATATAGATAATTTGGGTGTGCAGTCAGTGAAGTCACAACACTGTCTGGAGGGATAATGTGGATATGTTGGCAACAAATGTCCAAAGTTGCAGCAGAGTCAAGTGTCATAAGCTCCACCACATGCTTGGCCACACAAGCGTAGAGATTGTGGCGACTTATTAAATAAAAGACATCTTTGTGTTTCAGCCTAAATAAGAAATAAGAAAGAGAGAGGGAGAGAAAATAAAATTAGTCATACTGTTCGCAGTAATATTGGTTTTCATATCCACAATATCTTTTTTATTTGATATACATTTTATTTACTCATGGACAACTAATCCATATTTTCACATATCTCAACAATGCGTTGTAGGCCAATAAAACAATACATGCAATGCTTCTCTATTTGAAAGACTTACTTTAAATATATTGCTAGAGCCTTGTCATGTTTATCAATATTGGAGTAAAGGTGTGCAAGCGCTTGGAGTAAGACCATGTTGTTTGTGTTTCGAGCAAGAGTCTCTAGTACAGCATTGATAACAAATGACACATTGTAGAGGTGACCTGGCCAGTCTTGGACCACTTGCAGGAAACCCTAAGGAAAATATATTTAAAATGTTCATTTTGACGCTATATTTGTCTATATGTATATATATATATATCATTTTTTCTTTCTTTTTCTTCTAAACCATATCAGATATTATTGAGAGTTAAATTCCTAAATTGTTTCTTCTTACAATTTCTTTATTCTTTCATAGTTACATGAAAAAAACATAATGCCATTAAAGTTGTGTCATTTCCTGTACACCTTTTCAAGCTGAAAAAAATCACTGACCAATAATGAAGGAGAGGCTTGTTTCTTCTTAATAACATAGAATAACATAAAGGTTATCTAATATTACCATGAAATATAGCTAGTAAATACCCTGAACTGAAACAAAATCTTACAGGATGGTCTGTATTCAGAAGATCAAGGAGCACAGTCTGGTATACAGCTGGGTCCAAGCGGATGCCTTCACCCAGGGGAAGGTGAGGACTCAAAACTCGCAACTGACGGACTCTATTAAAGCGCACCACAGCTTCCTCCCATAGCACTTTGTCTGAGCCTGTAGGATTAGGAGGTATGGTCACTGACATGTTTCTTGAAATTAGGATCTACCAACATAAATTTAATCAATATTCCAGTATCAGAAACTAGATAATGAATCATCATAGACAGTGACCAGTAGAGTGTTAGCACTTCATTTCTTTTAGTCTTGACTTGGAAAATGATACAGTGTAATACAAACTGCTCTATCCTTACCAAGTATCTGAGTGCATAGCTTGGCAGCATCTTGATATAGACCATTGGCCATCAGGTGATCCAAATAGATACGACCCACACTGAGAACTGTGTAATTTTGCACATCTCGGCAGGTCTCTACAAGCTGCAACGAAAGTTGAATGTCTAAAATAATTCTTTATCACAAAATTTTCTGTTTTAGTTTCATCTATCTTTAAAGGATAAGAAAATAATACTATAAGAGGTGCAAATTATAAAACAAATAATAACAACAACAATAAGAATAATAGCAATAACAATAATACTGCTACTACTACTACAGCTACTAGAACTACTATAACTATAACAACTACAACTACTATTACTACTACTGATAATCTAAAAGATTTTAAATTTGTTTCTTAACCCAATACTGATGGGGATGACAAGTACATGCTCTGTCCACTGTGATTTTAAACTAATAATTGTGAAACAGATAAATATACCAAAACTGTTTGAAAATGAATATAATTTTGCACATAATTAACCCAGTACATATCTGTGTAATATATCAGTGATATGATTAATATCTTTTGGGAGGCCAAAAATAACCAAAAAAAGTTTAAATCATTATCAAATGAAGCTATCATTATCAAGTATGGCACATACTTAATTTCTGCACATTATTTTTCATCTATTCATTAGTCTTACTGTTTTCATACATCTTACTAATACTGAAGCCAAGCACACTGCATACTGGACTTGAGAATGTGAAGGGCCAACTATAATAATATTAACAAAATAACAATCATAATAATAAAAGTAATAACAAAAAATTCTACCACAACTACTACTATTACTAATGACAATAGTCTTTTCTATTACTTTTCATACCTCTAAAGCTTCCTTGTGTTTATCATGCTCTAAAAGCCACTCAATACGATCATCAGAACTTCTGGGTTTTGCAACTACTACATCCTGTGGACACACGATGTAGAACTGCCGATCCTCGATTAAGCATTCTGTCATGTAAGAAGACAACAAATTATGATGAAGAAAAAGAGCAAAGTAGAATAAAACTCCATTTAATTTGTCAAAAATGAATGACTTTTATCATACTGTACATCAATACATTTTCATGGGAATATGCTGTAAATGTTTCCCAGTTCTAAATCATTTAATAATTGATTTTATATGCAACCTGCATTAAAAAGACATATCAAGAAAAAAGAAAAAAGAAAGAAAGAAAGAAAGAAAAAAATCTGGTGACAAGGTATCATAAAATCTGTTATTGGCACTCAAATTAATATTTTTCCAAATATAAAAACCTCCAATACTAACCAAGATGGTAGTTTGCTGGTTTGTATTCCTGATAGCACCTAATACCAAGAACATCTTTTGAAATCTCCTCGAAGGTTCTCTGAAGGGGTTCCAGCACTCGCATCTGTGGCCTTCGTGAGTCCACCCCAAGGCTGGCCAAGGACAGGTCAGTCTGCTTGTTGTAGGCCAAGACTACCAAGTGTTCATCAAGGGGACCAACTCCACATACGTAGAAGTCAGTGGTGAACATGTAGACTGTACCAGGAAATGGAAAAGGGTAGTGAGCAGTTATTCATAGACATCAATACATTTGTGAGACAAAACACTACAATTAGGCTATTACAGTATAGCTCTAATTATACAAGAAAACAAATCAATTAATAAAATCATATTTAACAAGTCTCTTAAAGACTGATACTACTTATGAATGAATTACATTTTCTGATAATGAAAAAAATTAAAGTCTGCATTTTCATAGTAAAATTGTAAAAAGCTTTATACACTTTATACAAAGCACTTTCAATAAGTATAATCTTACATATCAAATTAAAATAATAATATTCTACCAGGGTCCTTAGTACTATAGATTTATTGGGTTTCCTTTATAATAAAATACCATAAATAATCTGTTTCATAAAAAATATGTGAAGAGGAACTCAAATGAATACTTGAAAGATAAGAAAAAAAAGTAAAACAAATAAATAACTGCAAAAATAACACTGTAAACAGGAAAGAAAGTAAATTGAACAAAATATAAAAAAAATATAATAAAAGAGATCAGTTTTGAAAACATTATCTTCAAAGGATCTAGTTTTATAACAAAAACATATATACCAATTTCCAGGTAGTATGGGGGAAGATCCATCATTCCAGGTGTAAGTGTAGCTGGGTTTGCAGACCGCTCCCTTACCCGACACACCTTGACAGAGTCTCCCCAGCCAACTATCAGAGTCTTACTGTCTGGCCAGCACAAGTGAGGTGGGTACTGGTCACAAGGCAGACTGATGAAGTGAAACAAAAATACTATTAGCAAGTCTGTTATATGCATTACTGTAGTGTATATAACTTCAATACTTCTTAAGTTGACTTTAACCTAAAATTGATGGGCATGGCATATATGTACATGCCATGTCCATTTTGAATTAATTTTATTAATTGTTTTTACACATAGAGGGCTCCACTTGTACTAAGTCACCAATGAGCCAATTATGAGTACTACTTGTCTCACCTGTTTACCCTTTTCCCTGATTTTTGAAAATATTGTATGGTATCTTAGATTGCTACTACTAATGCCAATAACATTATAGTAATTATAATGTCTATAAAAAAATAATACCATTTAATATTCATAGCATTAAAAAAATAAGTATTTCCCGGAAATTCAAGGAAAGGTGAAATTAGGTAAGATCACAAGGTCTACTAATAGACTCCTTTGTGGTTAAGCACTAACAGAGCCATCTATGTGCAGCGACATTTCACAAAAAATTCTGAAATGAGCACAGCATTTTCCCGGTGACATTGGGTTAATTTCAAGCATAAACTCAAACAATAGTCAGTAGCCACTAAGCCATATTCAACAATACCCACAAAACAACAAAACACAACCACTACCAAGAAAAAAAAGAGCAAAACATTCTCAACTCCCAATCACTCACGCTAGGCTATGATCACGCTTGATGAGTGTAATGACAGTTTTGGTGTTCATGTCCATCACTCTGACGCCAGAATCCGTTGCCCAAGCGAGGAACTGTCCCATCCATTTCATAGCTCTCGCTGGGCCACTCCCCTCACTCAGCACAGTGGAGCGCAGTTGTCCAAACATTGCCTTCTCATAAAGCACGACCTTTGTTGTCCCTGGGGGGGATGAGTTTTTTTTATTTCTCTGTTTGTTCGCAAAAATAAACCTCCAACCTCAAATACTGACTGAAAATTCTTATCATCAGAACATTCCTTATTCTTAATGATGAAGCTTAATTAAAACAAAATTATGGAATGAAAAATGATGATTTTACAAAAAATCTGAATCTACAACACTATGTTTCCAAATACATTTCTTTTTGTTTCCTCTACAACAAAATATAAAAGGCAATATTATCAGATATTATGAAAAAAAAAAGAAGAAGAAGAAAAAAAAAAAAGAAAGCAAAAAAACTAACCAACAACAAAGCGTCTGCCAGAGCGGGGTTTGTGGTAAAAGGGATCAAGTGCCACACTGCGCACGGGAGAGTCCATTGTTAGGTTGTGGGAGTTCTCCATGGTGTAAAGACCCTGAATTACAACCTAGAAAGAATCCAACTGTTAGAATATCTATAGTTATATTCCACGTATATTTATTCTTAAACCCTCTAAGAATATAGATTGTGTTACTTCAAATTCATTCTTTACCGTTATCTTTGATTGGACTAATTTATTTTTTCTTTTTGAAGAATATCACTCAAATGGCAGAATATACTTATTTATAAACAAAACCAAACCTGCATTTATAAAAATGATAAAATTCTTAGAGTAAAAATAAATATAGTAAGATACAATGGCAATATTGATAAAATATAATTTAGAAAAAAACATATATATATATATATATATATATATATATATATATATATATATATATATATATATATATATATATATATATATATATATATATATAACTCACTATGACAAACAAAACTTCACAACAAAAAATAAATCCTTTTAGAAGCTATACATGTGAAAAATCAATTATAGCTTCTAAAATGACAGGTACAATTATCATTATCATTATTATGATATATATATTTAAAAAAATCTATTGGCATAATCCTCTTATACACAAAAAATAAAAGCAAAAGGACACAGAACAAAACAAACAGGAAAAAACAAACACAAAGAAAACATCCTTCTCGGAGGTTTCACCTTCCTATCATGTGAGCAGGAGGCAACATAGTCCCCGTTGTCGTCCATGTCCAACATAGTCACAGGGTTGCTGTGTGGACTGAATTCCTTTACTTTGTTGCCCTGGTGATCTAGCACATGAATGCGGCCCCAGTTCGTTCCAATGATCATTAGCTGAAAATAGAATGTTTGTTGCATATATTACTGCATTGTGAATAATGGCTGTTTCTTAGAGTAGTTAAAATGCAATCATATGAAACAGCATCCCAAACCAAATAAATATGTAAATTAA